CTGCTGCACCCATGGTACGGCAGCAAAGTTTCTCGATTATTACGCCAGAATGAGAGTATAGTTCCTAGCCATATCAGCCTAGAAAAACTTTTCATTTTCCGTCGGTCTTAGTACACGATGTAAAAGGAAAAATATCGAAACTCTTTGGTCATTTTTGAGCAAGATGCTAACGGTCTAATCAGATTCAATGATCTATGCTAAGCTACAGCTAAAAGTGCTACCACCAGACCCGGAGATCGGCTGAATGGATTCGAAAACTTCGTAAAACTCAACGGTTTAACTCTAGGGGAGTTGGAAAATGAGCCTATTTTTAAAAATAGTGGAGTGTTCCTTTAAGCCACTGCAGAGCAAATACATAAATGTTCAGATATTTATTTATTGGTCTTTTTATCAACATTACCCAGTCCTATTATTAAGTAATAATATCTTTTTGTAATAGTATTGTCCATCTTCTAGATGCAATTTGTTTATTAATGGGTGTGTATGCAAAATAACATTACCAAACCAAACAATGTTTTCTCACTCCAGGCTGCCATGGAAATGCCAACACAATGTAAACATACCGTTACCCCATCTATCTCATCCACCTCAAATCTTGCTGGGACTGAGCAAGAACTGAACGACTCTCCTCAAAATAAATGTGACTTTTGAATGAACTCAAGAAACATCACCCTGCTTCACACGTGCTTTTAGAGCACGTCAGAGCAGCAAGTCTCCCTGGATTGCTTTTTCCCCGTATGCTTTGATCTGGTCTGATGGATACAGACTGAAAGTGTTTAGAAGAAGAGCCTAGGAAGATCTGATGGACGACTGGTTTGGGTGTCAGTACATTTCCTCGCAGAGTCCCATGGGAGAGATCACTGGTTTTAAATGTAGGCTGTTATTAAGTGCTGTCCCAGTTAATTATAAAAAAATCCAGTGTTGAGGAATGTAGAACACTAAGAGGAATTGACACATTATGCCTCCCGACCTTTCCTTATAAAATAATGGCTCATATCTACATGATCTTGAAGTCCAGAAGAGATGCATTTTATAAATGAATTTACTCTGTTGTAAGAGATCAATCCATCATAAATGATCTTGACATAAATGACGCCTCCACAGAACATGAACATTTGAGGGGATGAAATGTAGTGCCATTTCCACTCATTCCCTGCAAAGGATTGTAAAAGGGTTTAAACATGGTCACAAGGACAAAATATTTATATTTGTATTTGTAATGTACGTAGTATGTGAGTACTAAAAAAGCATCTATTGTTCAATGCCTCCTTTGATATTTTTCTCATGGATCTTGATCTTTTTTTTTTTTTTAACTAAAGACGTTAAACAGATGTAATAATTTTGATTATGTTGCATAAGATCTGTAACCTATGTTTCCAGTTCTGTTTGTGTGGATGCTTGTTTAACGCCAATATGTGTTGGTGTCGCTGTGCTCTTATCCTAAATAATCTCTGTATAATGAACATGCACCTAATTATACTGCATTTAACTAACTGCTGTCTCACTTGCTTTATTGGAATATCATGTGTATGTGAAGTTACCTGGTGCTTTTCTGCAGCTGACATTACACACAGTTGCTATAGTGTTAGAAATTGAAAAGTGATTCTTTTAAAAGAAATGGATGACACTTTTCTGCTAATATAGTACATAATGGTGTAACATTACATTTTTCACAAATCCTACTTTTTTATTAAAATAAATATTTAAAAAATGTTTTATTTAACCTTTTTTTATTATTCTGAATGTATTTAACTTAAATGTTACATCCAAAAAAACAAACAAAATAAAAAAAATATAGCTAGTTTAAAAACGTCAAATGCCTGTCCCACCTCAGAGGTCTTGCCCTTTTAGACTAGTAATATCATAGGTCATAATATTTCTGATACATGGCTTCAGTTTTTAGTTTTATGGTGGTTTATTGGCATGGCAAATATTTGTACAATGTATTGCCAAAGCAATTGCAGCGTTGTTGTGTGAAACAATAAAATACAATAAAAAGAGCAAAATGAAAATAGAGCAAGACAACATAAATTATTGGAAAAAGCCTAATTGGTGGAGATATTAATAAATATATGTAATATTTATATAATAAGTAGTGCTGTCAAACTAATAAAGTTTTTGTTTACATAATATATGTGTGTGTGTATACTGTGTATATTTATCATGTATATATAAACACATGCATGTATATATTTAAGAAAAGTATGTTATGTTTATATATTAAATATATCTATATAATATAAAATATAAGGATATTAATATATAAATCTATAAACATGTAAATATTTTCAAAATATATACTGTATGTGTGTGTATTTATATATACATAATAAATATACACAGTATATATACATATATAACTTTTATAAAAACAACTTTTATTTAGGATGTGATTAATCGCGATTAATCGTTTGACAGCACTAAAATAATATATAATTTACATAATATAATATTTAGATAATCACTTTCTGTATTTTTTTTTTTTGGGCGTTTTTATCTTTATTATGATAGGACAGTATTCAGACTGGAAGTGAAGTGGGAGAGAGAGAGGGGGACAGGATCGGGAAAGGACTCGAACTCGGGACGCCCGAAGCCCAATGGCCATCTTCAAGAAACAGTTAAAGACACGTCTCTTCCACATAAAACTAACACTCTCTATTCTATTCTTTCTACTTGTTTTCGTTTATTATATATATATATATATATGACCCTCTAAATCAAGCACGCTCTATTGTATTTCTATTCTATCTACTTTTTATTTATTTATAAAACAATTGTTTAGCTCTAACACTCACGTTCTCTGTTCTTTTTCTACTCTATCTACTTGTTTTCTTTTTATTTATTATTTAAAAAAAATCTTGCTGCATGTATTGCGCTAGACTTGCAGGGACTTGTCACAGCACTTGTATCATTGCTCTTTTGTTGGTTTGATTGCTTCTATTGTCCTCATTTGTAAGCAGCTTTGGATCAATCTAGCGTCTGCTAAATAACAATGTAAATGTAAATATTAGGGGTTTAAGAATAAATATTAAGATATTAAGAAATTGCATAGAACTGTTATGCTATTTATTGTAGAATATATAT